CACTTCATGTGCATTATGAAGGGATAGGGAAAGAGAAAGTTCATCGGAGTTGTGTTGGGGCTGGGCTGATAGAGGGGCAGAGAGAGAAGTTGTTGGGGCTAGACTGATACAATCTGATTGCTCAAATGATCATTTATAGGCAAAAAATAATTTTTATTTTACCAGCAAAATAATATTGGGTTCCACGGTGTCTGTACAGCAAGTTAATGGAGAGAAGGTGAAAAACCAGACCTGGAAGCAACCCTATGAACTGAGAGCTGAGAGCTAATCGCAGATTTTCAAGTTCTTCTCCAGTGGGAGATGAAGATTTGAGACAAACCCGTTGACAAATTTCACATTAGATTGACAAATTACAAAATGATACAATTAAACAAAGTTTAGAGTAAATCACATTACGCTGGTAACTCTAAACTAACCCAACATAAAATTGAAAAAATCAAACAAAGTGTAAAGAATCAATTAAAATCCAAGAGAAACATAATTTAAACACATTATACCCCAAATGAGAGAGGGAGAGAGAGAGAAGAGGGAGCCTGATTCGCTGCTCTCCATGGTGGTGGGTTGTCGGCCTGCTTGAGAGTGGTGGGTGGTTGTTCGAGCAAATAGAGAAAAGAGAGTAGAGTGAGAAGAAAGAAGATTAGCTTAGACAATAGAGACCGGGGGAGAGAAAGGGGTGGGAAAGACATAGCTGAGATGGTGGTGCTAGTGGCGCTGGTGGTGGAGGCGACGCTGGTATAAGAGAGTGGGTGAGAGAAGAATGGGGTGTGGAACGGGTTGCAAGTGATGAGAGCCGAGAGAGAGAGAGAGAGGGGGGGAGAGAGGAAGGTGATGGGTTGCAGGTGTGATTGACGGCATGGTGTGATTGATAGCAGGTTTAAGGAGGGGGAAAGAAAAAATCTTGGCCGAAAAAATTTTTGAATTGAGTGGTTGTAGACCGTTGGATGAAATGAATTGTGACCGTCCAATTGGCTTGTTGAAGCCCGCTGTGTTTTATATTATAGATTGAGAAGTTAAGACTTTCACCCAAAAAGCAAACTAACATTGAGGACCATAAGAGGCAAAATGAAAACTAAGAGGTGCACAACACAAATATTATTGGTACCCATGATAAATTAAATCAAAGCTATAAAAAAAACTCTGTGTTTTTGTGTGTGTTGACTGCCCCAGATCATTCGCACAACACAAATATCGGCCCCCACTTAGCCATGCATACTCTGCCTTTCCTAAGAAACCGAGAATCAATTTCCTCAAGAAATTCAACCACATTGTGATTTGTCTAAAGAACATAAACTTCCATCTCCATATTCATTTTCAAACCATATCCCAAAAAAACCTAAAAATTTACATTGGAATGAACAGACGCAAAACTCATTGGACTAAAAGAAAACAAAAAATGTCCCACCCATTAATTCATGAAATCAAAAAACATTTAGAAGTCAAAAGGGGACATTTGGGTGCCAAAAAGGTGAAAGACAATGAAAACACAGAAAATAAACCATAACTCCAATTCTAAAGACAATTTAACACTACACAAAAGCTGAAGTATACGAAGAACATAGAAAAACCCATGTACACAACAGTAGGATGCTGGAGAGTTATCCGAGAGCAAGTGGCATCGTCACTATACCATAAAATAATAATTTACACTAATCTTAAAGCTCCGCCAAACAAATTTTATCAGCCACCACCAACAAATCATTAAAGAATTAGGAACCCATTATAGAATAGATCTAACAATTTCAAGACTTATAAAGTCTTAGACCATGAACTTGGCATTCTATCATATGGGTTGGCACGTTGTTGAGAACAAAATCAAAAGATCAATTTTTAAGGGTCTAAATTATGTTTTTCTTTCATTGAGGCAAAACAACAAATAGTTTGAAAGCATAAATTCAAAATTTATAAAAGCTACCAGTTTACACAGTATATACAATGTCTAAAATAACGAATTTTTTGTGAGAAATATAGAGAGAGGGGAAGGAGAGGATCAGGGAGGGGAAGAGAGAGATAAAATAGACAAAACTTGATGGCTTAGGGGGACTGGTAGGGTTGGAGGTTTGTTGATCGATGGTCGCTGGAGTATTTGGTGAGGGTTCACTGGAGCGTAATGGGTGGGATTTAAAGGGTTCACTGGAGCGTTTTGATCTCTGTAGTTAGCTGTATTTATCTGATGTGCCAATTATAAATGAGGTTTTAATTCACTTGAATTGTTCTACCCATATGATTGAATTTAATGAGATTTTTTCTTTAGTCATTGTTTAAATTCCTTGTTTGGTTTAGAAATAAAATTTATTTACAGATATAGATATGCTTTCACAGACATTCAAAGCCAATGGAGAAAAAACCGTGCATTTAAATCCTACCCCTGGATCAAAACATAGCACACCATTGAAATCAAAGAGTACTACTGCTACTGGTGCATCCTGTGAAGGTTGTGGGAGGAATATCCAAGCCTTGCCTAACTGCTTTTGCTCTGTTGCTTGCAAGGTAAATAATGATGATGAACACATTTTCACAAGTTCATTAATTACTTGATCTCCATTTCCTACATAATAGTTAAGCTTGTCAACGTGTCATGGAAAATTATGAATATTTAGGTATTGATAGATTCATCACAGATCTTGTGTAAAGACCAGAGCCAAGAGATGATTGCAATCTTGGTGATCTCCATTTCCTACATAATAGTTCGAAGCTTGTCAACGTGTCATGGAAAATTATGAATATTTAGGTATTGATAGATTCTTCATAGATCTTGTGTAAAGACCAGAGCCAAGAGATGATTGCAATCCCGGTTCTTGAATTTGATTGCCTGTCTGAGAAGCAAGGCCCTGACTCGGAAAGGGATAAAAATGAACATGAATCATCCAGAGAAAACCAAGCCATTGTGAGTTTAGCACAGTAAGAAAATCTGGTGAGTTCAGCACACCAAGCCAAAGGGACGATTTCAAAAGAGGAAGGGTGTCCCTCGCAGGGCTGCTTTCAGTTAGCCCAAAGGAATCATTCTTTTATTAGTTTCTAACAGTAAGAAAATCTTTAATACACCCACATTCTTTCCTTTAGATTACACAAGATATATTCCCAATAAGACAACATTCTAGGAGTGGGTGAAGGGCAGAGAGAGAAAGAGAGAGAGGAAGAGGGGTACCTGGGCGACTGCAGAGAGAGGGAGACATGGCAGAGGCTGGCTGTGTAGCTAGGGATGTGGTGGTGTTGCAGACGAAGTGGCGATGGTGGTGGTGTTTCTGGTGTTCCTCGTTGCGTCACTGGAGCGTAACAGAGAGAGAGAGAGAGAAGGTATGGCTTGTCTGAGAAAAGGGATGGCTCTCTGGTGGTGTTGCTGGTGTTCTTCGGATACAAATATTGGGGTGGGTTGGGTTGGGTTGATTGAGTTTAGTTAAGTTGGGTTGGATGTGATGGTTAGGTTGGGTTAAGTTGAATGAGATGAATTTAGGGGAAAAATATATGGACTTTTGAATTTGAATGAGATGTATTGTGAGCCTTTAGATGTTGAAGCCTTTGGATGAATGAAGATCGTACAATCGACTTATTGAAGCCCCGCTCTGTTTTATATTATAGATTATAGATGTGAGTTGTTCGCTTTGTGATTTGACAATTCTCTCTCGTAGTATATTGTAATGATGTAACTTTTGGAGTATAATGTTATGTGCCTGTGCAATCTATTTTGGAGTTCGCGTCGATTGACTTTGATTTATTACCAATAAAAATAGCTTTCAATGTTATATTTTTTTACAATCATGACATTTTTGAAATCATGACTACAACACAAATTTCAAACATGTGCGATAAGCACAATGATCAAGTAAATCATGTCTCTCTTACGATAGTTGAATTTTGAAGTCCAGAGATAATAATCCTAAAATACATTCATTTGTACTACCCTAACAGGTACAGTGTGATCTGCTCATACATGGCTCACATTATACCTTATTTGGTTAACGAGGGTCCTCTTTAGGTCAAGGTTACTCTAAAATCATCTCTACAAAAGTAAACTCTGGATACCTGTAATCACTCGTAAATCATGTGTTTCAATTAAGTCTAGGAAAAACTTGCAAAGGTCGGATTCCTCACGTTGGTGTCTATAATCCGTTCAAGTCTAACCCACACTGCTGGACTAGTGGTGCGGGTATCATCATACCTTTTTACTCCTGTCACATGTTTTAATGTTATGTTTTTTTTTCTAGATTTTTAATAATAAATTAGGAGAAGATTGAAGAAGTATGAGTTGAAAAGACAAGTGACAATGGACCTCTTTCTAGATTCAAATTCCGCTGTAATTGATGTTTTATGTACTAGACTCTTTTTTATTTTATTTCTTTTTTTTACTCTTAGTCATCTTAAGTAGGATTACTTCAATTGAACCAAATTATTCAAGTTCGATTCATTTTGACTCGTTTAAAAATAAATCAAACTTGAACAATTTTTTAAGCTCATTTCGAAAACAAATCCAACAGGCTAGGCTCAAGTTCGACAGACTCAACTTGTTTATTTGCAAATACTCGGACTCGACTTGGATTAAACTTGTTCAGGCTCAACTCATTTTTTAAATGAACTGAACTTAAATAAATTTTTTAATTCAGTTAGAAAACAAATTTTTTACGCTCAGCTCAAACTCGTGCAACTATCAACACTAATCCAAGGCAGAGTTTAGATCAGCAGATCATCAAGCCACAATCTACATCAAACGCAACTAGGAATGATTAATTAAGCCGAGTTATTCGAGTTTGACTTGAACTCGACTCAGATAGAACTCAACTTGAGTTCGACCTGTATTCTAAACGAATGGAACTCGAATAATTTTTTTAACTCATTTAGAAAACTTAGCTTGTTTGTATGTAAAAACGTCAAACTAGTTGAGTTCGACTCGAATTATTTTTTAAAAGGGCAGAGCTTCAACAATTTTTACGTTTAAAAAAACAAGTTCGACGACTCAACTTTGGCTCAGAAGCTAGCCTCGATTATCAACCCTAGACACAACCCATTCCATCTGAGAGTTCTGATTTGACAAGAACCAAAATAAAGGAAGATATGGACTTACACAGTATATTGCTTGCAATTTCTTCTTTACAGCACTAGGATTCATGGTTGAAGTGAGCACATGCATAAATAACAGTCATCAACCCACAGTTTTGTTAGTTGTATTGTACTATGCCTGCTGCTCCATTGCAATGGCTGAAATAATAATCACAATACTAGCCAAGATATAAAACATCAATCACAGCAACCCAAAACTTCTCACTGCTTAACTCAGTAGTCACCATACTGCTTTACCTCCCAGGCTGTATGTATTTCTTAAACCCCAATAACAACGACCCATTACGTGTGACTATATGCACTTAAGATTGTGTCTTCCCAACCCTTATACAACTTAGCAATCTGTCGTGAACAGCTGCTGAGAAAATTTTGTGTGTTTTCAGTTGCTCTATGAATTCCTCTGCTTCTTCCACATCTCCCCGCCTTTCCAAAAATTCCAAACAGGCCGACAAAGTCTCTTTGCTGGGCTTCCAATTAGATGGACAAATCAAAATTGCTTTCTTCAAAGCTTCCACAGCATTTGCAACTTGATTATTTTCAATATACCCACCAGCCAATGAGCACCACGTATTAGCAGAAGGATTGCCCCCGTTGGCTATCCCCCTTTCTAAAAGGGATTCAGCCTTCCCTAAGAAACCATTTCTACAATAAACATCTATCAAGCAGTTCGGAATCCGAAAATCATAGGCTAAGCCCCTCGATTCCCATTCCTCAAAAATCTTCTCAGCATCTTCAATGGCATTAAATTTCGATAGTGAGCTCATCATGGTCATATAACCCTTGTTAAAGATTTTCTCCTTTTTGTACAGATTCCAGATCCGGTGCAATTCATCTTTTTTCCCAGTGCCTGCATACAGTCTGAGGAGACAATCAAATGCAACATTCCTTTTCTTGGTTGAAATCATCTGTCCCTCCAATTTACTCAACATTGCCAAAGCTTTATCCACCAAACCAACTTTCAAGTACCCACCTGCCGCAACAGCGTAAGTAAAATAGTCCAGAGTAACGCGGTGATCAGATTCCATTTTTGTGACAATTTTATCCATTCCTTCAATATCAGAAGCCGCAGCATATGCGCTTAGGCGAATGCTATATGTGTAGTAGTCAAAATAGATGCCCTTCTCTTCCATTTCATGCACCAGAGTGTCTAATTTCTCCCAACTTTTCATTTGATAATATAAATTCATCATAATATTGTAGCTCCGTGGTGTCCTAGCATACCCCATATCCCTTAATTTCTGCATGAAGGTCTCCGATTTTTCCACTGTTTTGTCATGCGCATAGCAATTCAGAAGAGCCAAATAAACTTCATAGCCTTTTAATATTTGCGGTATGTTTTTGAAATATTTCTCAGCTTCTTCTAAGCCATGCACTCTACAAATCAAATTTAGCCGGTTGGCAATGTCACCTTGCATGAGGGGAATGTATCTTTTATCGGTCATCCACTGTGACACCTGCAAAGAACATTGGAAACAGAATTCAGGGATTAGATTCACAACATTATATAATGACTTTGGAGATTTTATGCAACAGATCAGCAGACCATCACTGCAATGTTGGTCATGGCAAACGAATCCTTAAAAGTCAATAATCCCTAGACATACCCATACCAAGAACTCAATCTTATTAATGATTAATCAAATAAGTTTATAGAGTACATTACTTTAATAAAAATCATTCCGTCAATCGGAAAGTGATAAAAAGATAAATCATTCTAGAACCATAAAATTTATGGAGAACATATTCAATTTACAATGATGAAAACCATACCCTAACTTGAGAATAAGAAGGGATTACTCACTGGCCATGAGTTAATTCTTCACAAAACTAAGAAAAAGTCTACGGAAGAGGTCTAGGAGGAAGTCCTAGAAGAGGTCCTCCCTAAAGCTACCCAATAAAGCAAACAACAAAATTTCAGAGCATCCTTTATCTGCACTATTGCCATTTGACTGAACTTGTGAATTTTTCGTTGATTCCCTTTGCTTCAACAACAAAATCCAATAGAAATTGTAAAACAAAAGCCAATATGTGTCAGAACCAGATACAAACACCCAAAATGAAACAAAAAATACCACACACCTTGATACATACATATGTGATACATATCATCTCTATGTTTATCTATTATAAGATTTCAATTTGGAAGTTCAAGGGTCTATTAAGTTATGTTCTTTTTTTTTTGGAAAAAGNCTCTATGTTTATCTATTATAAGATTTCAATTTGGAAGTTCAAGGGTCTATTAAGTTACGTTCTTTTTTTTTTTGGAAAAAGAGAAATTTTATTGAATAAATCTCAAAATTTCAAGAATCAAAACAGAAACTGTTTTACCGAAAAAACAGTAACTGTGCTAACATAAAACAAAAAACAGAAAAACTGTTACAATCAAGACAGAATTTCTGTTTTTAACAGAAAACTGAAACAGCACAATCAAAACAGCTTTTCCTGTACAAATGCTACATTTCTGAAACTGCTTGGGGAAGAATCTGTCAGCTAATCATCAACTTGTACGCTCTCATGCAGCAATTATCTCCATCCAGCGTATCTACAACAACCCAGTTTCAATGCATCCAGGCATCAGCTCCACACACTCCATTACAGCCCAGTACTGCAACCTCACAGAAAACAGAAAACTGCCACAGAAAATAGCATTTTTCTGTTACAAAAAACCAGACAAGACTTCCCCCCTGCACAGCCTACAACTACATCACACCTTCACAACATCACAGCTTCAGGCCCTCAGACACAGATCAATGAATTTCCAAGTATTAACTAGCTGGCTTTAATCCTTCAAAAAATATTTTGAAGTCAGAATCATTCCTCCAAGGCACCAGCCTTACTCCAGAAGTCAGCAAAACAGGACCCAGCATATACCCAGCATTTCAATACAATCAGACAAGCAGTCTTAACCTTTATCATCAAAAATGATTACATTTTTGATTCGAGCAACAGGCAGCCTCCTTCAATCCGGGTAACAGCATCAGTTTGACCATATTCGGAATCAGAGCAGCACCTGAAAAACCAGAAGAAAACTGGTCCTTCACAGCCCTATTCGCCAAAGCATCAGCGACCCCATTCGCTTCTCTGAAGACATGGAACAATTGTGAATCCACTCCCCCAGGCAGCTCCTTGATCTTTGCCAAAAAACCTTGACATGACCATGGACATGCCAAGCCATTCCTTACGATATTCACAAGCATCATTGAATCCGATTCAATTACTAATTTGTAATTAATTAAACCATGCTGTTCAATTAGATACCATCCATTAATGCCCTGAACTCAGCCTCCATGTTCGAACATACACCATAGAAAAAGGAAGCAGCTGCAACCATTCTCCCAATCTCATTACGCACCACCACACCCCCATCAGCAAGCCCAGGGTTACCCTTGGAAGCCCCATCAACATTCATTTTCAGCAAACCCACAGAAGGGCACCCCCAGCAGACCCCGATAACTCTAGCCCGAATCTGAACAGAGTAATGAACTCTAAGCAGCTCCAATAAATTCCTCCCCAAATCATCTTCTTTAACTTTTGGCCTTATATTCTTACTTTGATATCGAAGAATACTACATATCCGTAAAAACATGGAATAAGACACAGTTTTCCCCTCCCCTGCTACCCTCCTGCTCCTTTCCTTCCACAACTGCCAGTAAATAATAAGTGAAAAGCTCCTTACCAAACCATGACCAACAAACTGCTTGCTATAGAGTCTACAAATTCTTCTGAGTCTTGCAAAAGGAGACTCACCTTGGATTAAAGTAAATCCCATCCAATTAGCCATCCTCCTCCAAACAGCCTCTGCATATGTACACTGCACAAACAAATGCTCAGAACTTTCCATATCATGGAAACACATCCAGCATCTACTAGCAAGAGGGATCACCAGTTACTTAATTCTACAATCCAATGGAAGAGATCTCATCAACAATTTCCAACCAAGTAACTGAGCACTAGGAGCTGTCTTCATTCCCCAAATCAACGAAGCAGTTTCATTTCTCTCATGACTCCTCAAATTCTGCCAAGCTGATTTAACAGTAAATACTCCAGACGAAGTACCCTGCCAAGTCAACCTGTCCTCTTGCCCATTCAAAACCACTCCAGACCCACAAATCTCTCCTTTTAACTGATCATTCAGCAGATCATCCACCCTATCAAACTGCCACTGAGCCTGGAACACCTGCAAGGAACNCTGCCAAGTCAACCTGTCCTCTTGCCCATTCAAAACCACTCCAGACCCACAAATCTCTCCTTTTAACTGATCATTCAGCAGATCATCCACCCTATCAAACTGCCACTGAGCCCCAGCCACCTCTGATAATCTAGGAAACATACAAGGAACACCTGCAATTCTGCTTATTAAAGGACCACTCCCTAACCAGTTATCGCACCAAAAGTCACTATTCTCCCCATTACCAGCCAAAACTTTCGACTTACACACCACCTTATCAAAAAAAGGTCTCAAACATTGAAACACTTAGAATGCCCCCTACTCATACATCTCATCAAATGCTTACCCTTTAGAAACTTGGTACTAAACACTCTAGCCCACAGAGAATCCCTTTCATCAATCTCCATACTTGCTTCATTCGGAAGGCATCTTGCACCTCCTCCAATTTCCTTAAACCCAGACCACCCTCAGATTTAGGTAAGGTCACTTTTGCCCAAGAAACACAATGCCTCCTCCTACTATCCAATTTGTTTGACCAAATAAAACTAGCCATCATTGAATTCATACGAGCCAAAATATTCTTAGACAAATTCACACAAGCTAAAAGATGAATAAGGATAGAGCTCAGTACTGTTTGTACCAAAAGAACTCTACCCATATTAGAAAGCAACTTAGAATACCAACCCTCCATACGTTGTCGAAATTTCACTAAAACCTCCTCAAAATACCTGATCCTAGTCCTCCCATTACAGATAGGACAACCCAGGTAAGTAAATGGGCATTTTTTGATAGGAATCCCAGCCATCTCAGATAGTACTATCCTCCTAGAGCTCCCAATATGCTTTGAAACAAACATTGAGCTCTTAGGTAGACTTACCCTCTGGCCTGAACACATCTCACATTCCTTCAAAAAATTCAGCAAGTGCTCCAGAGATTTTTTCAAGCCTCTTAAAAAAATTAGAGTGTCATCTGAAAAAAGCAAATGACTCACTAAATATGAGGCTCTTCCCAGATGAAAACCTTTTACCAAACCCTCCTGATAAATTCTGCACAGACCCCTACTCAAGACCTCTTCAGCCAACACAACTAAGCAAGGGGAGATGGGATCCCCTTGCCTTAACCCCCTAGAAGTAGGAAAAAACCCCCTTCTCAAACCATTCACACACAGAGAAATGTTTTGATTTCCCAAACAATTTCCAATGATCTTAACAAAAAGCTCTGAAAAATCAAAACATGAAAGCACTTTCAACAAAAAATCCCACTCTATCCTGTCATACGCCTTCATCATGTCAAGCTTTAAAATCATGTTCCCACCCTCCACCTTTCTATCTAAGTCATTCACCATTAACTGAGCCAAGGAAATACATTCCCCAATACCTCTTCCCTTGATAAAACCATGCTGCTCCTCAGACACCAACGCAGCCAACAAAGGAGCTAATCTAGAGGTCAACAACTTAGTAAAAATCTTGTAAAGAAAATTACATAAGCTGATAGGCCTAAAGTCAGCAAAAGAAACTGGATTAAGCTTCTTAGGAATTATCACCAACAAAGTAGAATTTATCGACCTTGGAATTATGCCACCTTTAAGAAAAAAATTAACTGCCTTTAACACATCATGCTTAATGATATCTCTGGCTGCCTGAAAAAATTTCCCAAACCACCCATTCACCCCAGGAGCACTATGAATTGACATAGAAAAAACAACAGATTTCACTTCCTCCAAAGATGCTTCCCTAAGAATCTCAGCATTTAACTCATCCGACGCAGTTCTAGGGATAACTTCAAATAAATGCTCCTACATCTCATGCCCTTCAGATCTGTATAAGATAGCATAAAATTCCTCAGCACACTTCCCAATCTCCTCATTATCAATCCATAAACCCTCCCCATTCTGAATTCTCTGAATTCTATTTCTAACTGCCTTTACCTTTAGCTAAGACATGATAGAATTTAGTATTCTTCTCGCCCTCCACAGCCCATTTCACATTCGCCTTTTGCTTCCAACACACCTCCTCAAGCCTCAAGACTTCATCAAGATCTTTTTGATGAGAATCAAGAGCTTACTGGCTAACCAATGAATCCTCTGTTTCAATAAGGATCTCAGCAACCCTTATCTTTTCCTCAAGAACTTTAATACGATCAAAAAATTACCAAACTCCTCTTTGTTCCACTTCTTCACATGTCATTTAAGATATTTCAGCTTTAAAAACAAATTTTCAACATACCATCCACCCCATTTAGAAGCAATCAAATCCAAAAACTTTGGGTTTTCCACCCACATATCTTGGAATTTGAAATATGAAATTCTTTTAGCATCCACAGATTTATCAACTTTAAAAAGCAAAAGACAATGATCGGATTTTCCCCTGCCTAAATGCAACACCTTATCTCTTCCAAACCCCAACTTCCATGCAGCATTAGTAAAAATTCTATCCATACGTTGCCACATTCTAGCTCTCCCTTCTTGGTTATTACACCAAGTAAACCTACTTCCCACAAAACCACAATCCATAAGACCAACAGCCTGCACAAAGTCCCCAAATTCTTCCATAGCCTATTCTCTCATCAGAACTCAGAATAGAATTAAAATCTCCAACAACCATCCATTTAGACATTGGGTCTATAGACAAACCCAACAAATGAGACCATAACGGTCTACGCAAGACATGGTCACAACAAGCGTAGACAATGGAGATAAAAACCTCCTCATTTCCCATAACAGAGACCCCTACTGTGAAGGCCTGCTCATGACAATGCACCACCCTTACCACAACCCTATCATCCCACAAAATCCATATATACCTTTCAGCTAAAGGATTAAACTTAAAATGAGTTAAACCTACACTAGAAGCAAATCCAGGTAGATCAATATGACCTAGCTTAGGCCCCAGTACAGCTACTACACATACATCATTCATTCTAATTATCTTTTTTAACCTTTTTCTTTTAGCTTCTTTACGAGCCCCTCTTATATTCCATGATAAGAAACAAATCATAATTGAGAATAAGAATTCATACCTTCAGACTTAAGTCCAATATGTGCTGTTGAAGAGGGTACCACTTTCAAGTTGAAATCATTAGACTCCTCCTGATCCTCTGTAAACATAATACCCCATTCTCCACTCTTAGAGCTGCCCACATCAGACAAATAACCCTTATTAGGGGGCTCCTTACTTCTGACCAGATCCATCTCATCATCTAACGACATGCCAGAACCCTTCCTAGCATCATAATGATAATCAACAAGGAAAGAAGAATCCTTTTCCTCCAACACATCTTCCTTCAGCACATCTTTATTCTGAGGCAACCTTCCAAGATCAGATTCAATAAAAAGCTTCTCTTGTCTACCATTCCCAGACAACTCTATTTTTCCCTCCTGATTACTCAATTCCTTCTCACTTACTACCTTCTCCACCACCTCTACTTCCTGAATCTCATTATTCAGATTCACCTCTTTGTCATTCATCTCTCCCAAAGCACCAGCATCCCCTATCTCTATTTCATTCAATTGACTCACTCTACACAAATCTTCCTTCTCTTTCTACATACTACTCTGCCCTTGCGCAGAACACCTCTGACCTGTCATTCCCCTCTCTGAGACATCAACATCAATATCCAAAACAGCAAATCTATTTTCTATCCCCTGAGTAGGAATAACAGATTTTTGTCTATATTCCATTTTTTGTTTGTCCCTCTGAACTTCCTGACCAACTACTTTCCCTTTAGGACCCTTCCATTCATCCCCTTTATTTCTCTCCTTTACTGGCTCGGTCACTTTATTAGCTATTACAGCTTCAGTCTCCATACGTTTTTTGACCCTTCCATTCATCATGACCTTGCTTCAAACACAACGAACAATATCTATACTCCTTCTCATAACATATCTTTTGCCATCTTCCACTAACTCCCCCCATGTCTAACCAAAACCTCTTGGGGTTATTTGCCAGAAGGTTTACTTCCATGCATGCATGAGCTACCCCAGGCCCGGTTAGTTGGAAAGTAGGATTATCTACCATTAGAATCTTTTCCATAGGACTTAAGATATCCCTCAGACTTTCCAAATTAAAAAGATGTATAGGTAAACCTGGAAGTGACACCCTAGTAGGAATAATAGGGGGTTCAATACCTGGCTGAAACTCCGAAAACCACTTGAAAAATCTAAACAAGAATCCCTCTATGTATGTTACGTCCTTCAGCCAAGCCCTAACATAATCTTCATACAAATCGAATCCTATTAACACATGTCTGGGATCCAATATTCCTACCAAAAAATCACCTTTCAACACTCACTTAGATTTGATAAACTCCTTGATTACTCCCACAGAAGGCTTACCGTATGCACATTTCCCAATCAAAGACTGATGAAAACCCTTTGATAATTGTTGAGTTTCCTCTAGCGACCAATACATTCCCAGTTCGCCGTTGTTGTATACCACTCGTTTTGCTGGCTTTGGAGCTTCTACGGAAGAAATCAAATTCCTCAAAGTCCCTCCAGGAATATCAGAAGCAATCTGACCACTCACAGGATTTACCAAAGATTCATGAGAAATCGAAGAAACTTGGACAATCGAAGGAATTTGCGAAATAGAAGAAATCTGAACATTTGAAGGAAAAGAATCTGACGATGATACCAACACAGACGAAGGATTATGAGAATTTGACAAGATCTTACCATTCGAAGGAATATGAGTAACCGAAGAAATTTGGGTAAAAGATGGGATCTGAACATTCGAAGGGATTTGATTGGATGAGGAATTTTGATCTACCTTATAAATCGAAGGAGGCATAGATGAGATTTTACCATAATAAACAGGAACTATATCAGAATTTGATCCAAGAACCAAGCCCGAGCAAGTTGTCGGGTTCAAGAACAAAACAGAGTTCTTCGGGCTCGTAAAAAGTGAAGCAAAGGTTTTAGATACATCCGGTGGTTTTGGGGGAATTTGCTTCTGTAGTTGATCACCAGACATGATCAATTAGAGAAAGTAGATCAAATCAAAGGAAGAATTGAAGAAATCTACAAAGAAATCGATGAATAAAGGAAAAAATCGAAGACTGTCAAAGAAAAACGGATTTTAGAGAGAAGTCAGAACTTCTCTCTCTACAACGGAATAACTGCCTCTATTAAGTTACATTCAATATTGATATATGCAGCTAATTCTCGAGAACCCATTTGCGGAAAATAACAAAAACCAACACAAATTGTATAGCAAATCATTGAGGAATTATACCAAACGTGCATCCAAATTGTTAATTTTTGAAAACCCATCTGCTTAATTTATTCTTAAAAAAAAAAAAATCGTGCCCAGTGTAGGAGGCTCCTGTCCTGCCATTGCAAGGTCTTTGGGGGGGGGGGGGGGGGGGGGGGAAACCAA